TAGAGCAGCGCTACGGTACAGCGTGGTTATGGGTTCAAGTACCATCGGGTTGAAGAAAACTTTCTGTGTAAGTATTCGATATCTGTATTTATAACCATAACGAAACCTTATTTTATTTACGCATTTTGTATATTATTTATTTAGGTTAATTTCATTCCCAAGGTGCGAGAGAGGCTTGAAGGCAGCTAACGCCGTTAAAAGCAATGCTCTTAAATAAAAAATAAGAATTTACTCTACATCACTTTTCCAATAACTTTAGCAAGTTGTAGGTATCATTTAAGGTACATTTTACAATGAACGTTAGAAAGTTAGAAACCATTTTTAAATCTTGCTTTTGATATGCAGTTGAATTAAATGAAACAAATAATGCGATTAAATATTTATTTAACTCACACAAAAGTCTTCAACAATGCCCGTAAAAAAAATAAGGAATAAATCCAACCCATACGTTAGGGAAGCCAAGTCTTCAATTAAAATGTCGTTAGGTCTTTATTCGTGTGCGACGTTTTAGCTGGTGATGATATCGAAATAAGTTCATATAAATAATTAAAGGTTTCAAAAATGATAACTACAAGACAAGGTAATGACACTGCCGAACCGGACTTCTGCATTAGTTTACATAAGTGGCTGTGCAAGACAGTATTTGTAAACTGTCCAAGGGAGAACAATTTCCGATTTTATAGCGATGCCAGACGATGAATTGCATCACCTTGTTGTTGTTGTTGCGACGCCTGAACAGTGTCGTTGCGTTGTACTACATATAAATCAGAATTACATGCCACGTGTTGCGTTGAAACGGCGCGCGGCGATGGAACGCGTGAGCATCGGACAAGGGACCAGGAGATGAAGCGGGGAGGGATGCTGCGGTGCGTGCATTACGTCGCGAAACCGCATTACTCATGTGGCATTTGGTGCGTTGAAATCATAACGCTGCGACGACGCAAGGCACCGGCACCGCCTGTATGGCATCGCTCATAGAAAGGACAAAAGACTGCAGAACAAAACTTCTAACTAGTATTTGTAAATTGTTACGGAAGCTACGACATTTTCTCGATTTAGAAATAATGTTCAGAATTTAATTAAATGTTCAATTAATTTTCTTTTTCCTTTCGAACACCTTCTGATAGAAGTCAATATGACAAGCATTTCTCCTAGCGTCAAACTTCAAGAAATGTATTATACGTATTCAAATACTTTTATAAATACTATATCATTGCTACCCCTCAGCAAAAGACGCCCATTCTTCACGTTTATAATAAAGTTTTGCAAATTATTAAGAGCAAAAAAACTGCTAATGAGACCTTTTAGCTAGGCAAAAGATACGCGGTTGGTACAAGTAAGATTACATATCTCGCGAATAACAAATCAAGTATTTTCGGGATTTTTTGACGTTTTAAGAAACCTACAGAATTTTGACGTTTAAGAAAACCTTGTGATAAACCAGATTTAAAAATAAATCAAGGTTTCGAATCACCAGCTGGCAGGCACAACACGTTAATAAAATTTTACTGTCGTTTCAATTAAGCGCGTGCTCTTGTTCGGCCTGACCTGGTGGTATATCGTTGCAGACCACCTCCTGGACTGCTATTGCACCGTTTTCAGATTTCATAATGTGGGCAGCTGTTGGCATAAAAAACATTTAGAATGGTTATACACGGCGATTTTCAGCAGCGATGCAAACGCGCGATTGCATCGCTAAACTTGGGATTTATAGGTAATTGCATCGATGCAAACGCGCTCGATGCAGTCATCGATCCAAACGCGCGATTGCATCGATACAGTCGCTTATGTTGAATCATTATGTACGGAAAATCTGTATAAGTTTATGCACAATGTTTTGTTTTCTTAATTGTAATTTGAAAAGTGAAATTAATAAATACATTAAATTAATTAATTAATTTAAAACGTGCATCGCGTTTGTATCGCGTTTGAACGGGAAAAATTTGAATTCGAATTGAGGTAGGTAGTATCGACTCTTAAACCATTTATTTTTCACACACATAAACAAAACACAATTACAGAAAGGCCATAATTACATATAAAATTTAATTTAAAAAATATCTAGTAAGTATCATAGTAAATACTATTGTAAGTAATCAGTTTGCAGTGAGTGCAACCCTGATTTTCAGCCCGACCCGACGTGGTCGATGACACACACGGATCGAGCCAGCAAATATTACGAATTTCATTAAATAAAATTTCTTTGTGTTTGTGCCATCTTTATATCAATAATAATTTTATTTTTTATTTATTTTATTTTATTTGAGATAGCAACAGCCATACTTAATACAATTCTAACCTTTACATACGTTTAACACTTTTTGGATAGGCCAATTGTCCACTAAAATGATTACTGATAAGGATGAACGAAGTTCAATGAAATTAAATAAAATAATCCTGACCCTTATAAAACAAAAACATTACCAAAAATGAGAGAAAAAAGAACATTAAAATAAGATAAATAGTACATGAATATAAATTTAGAGTTAATACGCTCTAGTATATTTATAATAAAATAATGCTTTCATATAATACATTAAAAATTATATACACAACATCATATTATATTAAATAATGAAAACAGCATTCTTGCCGTAAAGGCCTTTCTACACGATTCAGATGCTAAATAACGGCGCGAATCGCGGCAGGAACTTCCAGTTTCACAGTCGCAGAGGTTCACGCCTGCTTTACAGCATAGTTCGCGCGCTTGACGAAGATGAACGCCAAAGTTAACGTTGCTGCTGCGGGACTACTTTACGCTTTGGCGATTGATAATTATGCTTTTATGAAGAAGAAAAGTTATTAAAACCGTCTGAAAATGACAGTTTTATTTCATTTGTCCAAAAAACGGCCATTTTAAGCACGTTCAAATAGTTAACAATACAAGTACAAACACAACCGTCCGCGGCACATAACAAATTCACGCTTGGCGAACCCATTTGTCGCGGGACCAAATACCAACTATAATCGGAAACGAGCCGTGAACGAATATGCGAATGGTGTCCTCACTCATGCTTCGCGGATAGTTTGCGGCTCCGCGCGTGAATCGCGCGCGAATGTGGAGAGGCCATAATTCGTGGAGTGGAAATGGATTGGAAAAATAATAACAAACTAGAGTTAATACTAAAATTAGAATCATACCGCACTCCAATTTAGGAATACAGGCGCCAAGACAAGCCGGCGATCCCGCAGTAAAAATCAAATGGTATTTCCTTCCTTGGTTATGATCGTCGTACACATTTTTCACGCTTACAACTTTCAAAGGCTCATGTGAACCGTACTTCTCCAACGCCAATACGCTCATTTGTTGAAATAATGGGTCTCCAGTACGTAATTGATCTTGTACTGCGTAATACATGTGACTCTGTAATTGGAAATGTTTGATTTAAAATTATAGACATAAGCATATAATTTTATAATGAAATAATAGACCTGTAACACATATTAATTGTAATCCGGTATGTAATCACTTAACACCCGTAAAAACATACATCTTTTCAGGAAAATAACGTTTCGCCCGTTTTCCCATCATCCCTCATCTTTTTTTTTAAACAATTCGACCAATATCTATTAGTGTCGCCATTTTGTTTTTCTTTGTTTTTATTGATTATTTCCAAATCAAATCGGCAACTTGTTTTTTTTTTAATCCGATAGTTATTGCAAGTAGAATAATAAACATTTTAAAGTAAATAAATGATTAAATAGCTTTTGTTGAGAAAATTATATCGAGTTCTTAGACTTTTGCAATTGCTACACATTGGAAATGAAACTATTTGAACGAATCTATAATTTTACAAACAAGCCTACGTTTCAGGCGAAGCGGTCCTTTTTTATATTTTTCAATGTTTTCATTTACATCAGGCAACTATGACCCATATAATACATAAGTAACTTAAAGACTGATGTATATATAATTTAGTATAATTAATTTAAGCGGCAAAATATACGCTGCTATAATAAGATTCCAATTAATATTCAAATTTTGACAAATTGTGAAACAAAAACTTTATACTAATGATTGTTATACAACTTCTGCGTACTTGGATGACAAAAATCTGTGGTAGTGACCCGTTTGACTCTTTCAGGTATTCTCGATCTAAAATGTTTAAGTTAAATATTGTAACGATAAATGCATACAAATGTATATTTACAAAGAGTTTCTTGCTCATTCTTCTCAGGGGAACTGCCTCAATGAGCAGTAGAGTTTAATCAGTATGAGAATTTCAAGTGTAATTTCTTTACTGAAATAAAGATCTAAATAACAAATCTACAAGAATTGCACTTGTCAGTGATATGTGGCACAATCTTAACTGGTGTAACTCCTCCTTAATGACGATCACCATCAGGTTGACGGTGTTCGGTCGCCACTCTCACCACAAACGAAACAAAATTCATATTGTGGCGGAGCTCCCGCTGCTCGACCCTAAGGGTGTATTTGACTTTAAGCCTGATGTACTCCACTATATCCTTATAATAAAGGGACGAATAAGTATTGTGCCTGGTGGCAAGCGCTGAACAGCACTGAAACTGCGCCCTTTTCCCTGAGACATAATTTGACAAGCCCCGTGTGCCTGTCATTTCACCAGCACCCTTACTCTTCAAAACCGGAAAAAAACTACGACGACCTAAGCACTTCAAGTTAGAATCATTATCGCATCGCAGGCAGACACTCGACAATCTGTTCTTGTTTAAGCTTGCTAATGGAACCCTAGACACGCCTGAATTACTGAACGAACTAAGCTTTAACATACCGCGTAGGTTGCCAAGGTCCTCGAAATGTTTGAACCTGTTCCGTACCCCGAGCTCCCAATAAAATTTGGGCTACTTTGCGCCTCTGGCAAGACTGGCGTGTCTACATAACAGTAAGTATATCAACACTGTTGACATCTTTGCCGACAGTTTGCCTAAGTTTAGACATGCTATCAAGTCCCTGACATCTTAAAACATCTTAAATATATATGACGGAGGGTGATGTAGACTTCAATTACAGAGAGACCATCTTCCATTTTGCGGCGGTTTACAAATGAAAATGTTACTCAATGTCAAATTCAAATAATCATTTATTCCATCGTCATTTTTTAAGCTACTGCTCATTCACCATGCTGACTTCCTTGAGAAGAACGAGCAAGAACTGCTCTTTTCAAATAAACTTAAATGCTATGGAATACACTTTGAATCTTAATGGTGTGGAATCCAGACTCATGTCGTCTTTCCACGCATCTTGGAACACCAATCAGTTTATTGCGTGTGCTAAACTTCTATATACATAACTAAACTTCTATACACTTCTCTGCGGAAATATATCGCGAGTGATACAACTTTAATCAGGATGCACATCAAGACTATTTCAAATAATCAAGGTTTTTCCCCACTTGCCTAATCTCTACACAGTTGGCTAACTTGTTGAACACTATCACCACTCCTGTCATGCCAGTTGCCAGGGGCGACAATATTGCAACATTAGGCGTTGCGTTCCATTTCCGTTCAGTTAATGTTACGTTCAGACACGTTCCATTTCAAATAAATAACTGTCAAAACGAGGTTTATAAATTAAATGCGCTGTTTGTAATTTGTTTCGTGATATCACTTCGACATATATATGTATATTTTTTATGCCTTAATTACTATTTACATTCTTTTTAATTCAATATAATTGATGGATTCTAATTGTAATAATAAATGATGATAATGACAAATAAATAATAAATGTTAACGTTTTTATTACCTACATCGCATGTTGTCTTCACCTATAACTGCTATAGCATTAAGTTCTTTGTTTCGTAATGTTAAATATCTAATTGAATATTATAGTTAATGTTACTTAATTGAATGATATCTAAAAAAATAATTATTGACTAATAAAATAATAATAATAATAATAACGTACACACTCAACATAGCCCCGCACTAGGGAAACCCTGTGTCGCGGGTGCCATGGACACACACGTAGACAACCACAAATTACACCCAAACTCACGAGAGAAATAAATGTAGGCCATACAAATATTTCTCCCGACCCGGGAATCGAACCTGGGACCTCTGCACGGCAGTCCGGCATGGTAACCGTTCGGCCACCGAGGCAGTTAACTATATATAAAATGTACTATACAGTGTCCGAATTTTTAAATAATAAGTCCCTAAATTCATTGTCTAATTTTTGACATTGGAAGATATCGACGTTATTCATATCACGATATTATTTTGACATCTAATTACAATTAAAATTACCCCTTCCATCAACGCGTTTAAATTCTGATCGACTTATTAAATCCATGTGTGCACCTCCATGTAATATAATTGAAAAACGAAACATGTTACACGTGGTTTAGTCTGTCGAAGTGCATGTGAGTGAATGTATATATACCTTCAATATTTGTATGCCTACCGGTTTGCCGGACACAGAGAAACTGTACTTGTTTTGTACATGTCAGCTTCTATATAACCTGTGTTTTCTTTCACAAATAAATAAATTATTATTATTATGTATGTAGTGTTGGTGAACTGAATAAATAAATAAATAAAATAACCGCCACACAGTCATGCTCACATTACTGCTGCAGACATAGGAAAGGTTACAGTAGTATATTCGTAGTCCACGGGCGAGCTCTTTCACAAGGAGCTCTACTGGTACCAGTCTGCAGACTACCCAGCTCCTCAACTACTACAGTAAAACTATCGTGTTTGCCCATTACAATAGTCTCAAAAGCGAGTTGTTAAGTTACAGAAGTTTAGGTCTATCCAGGATGCAGCGAAAGAAAATTAAAAAGCATCTTTTTTTTATTTATAATATATCCTTATTAAAATATTAGTTATATCGTACTGGTTATTCGATTCATCGGCCCGAATTACATTTCGTGAACTATACTTGTAATTTCTCGTGTGTTGTTATTGAAAATGACGTCAAAAACAAGTATGGCCGTTTCTTTATCTTCTGATTTGTAAATGCCTGTAACTATTTTGTTTTTCAACGTATTTCAAATCAGTGTTCTTGTTGGAATATCAATTTTTTTATAATATCAAGCGACGGGACGAACAAGTCGTGCGCTTGATGGTAAGCTACATGCCTGTCCATAACAGTTGTAGTGCCACTCAGAACTGTGAATCGTAAAGATCTGAGAGGCACCGCCACTGCACCCGTCACCCTGAGACATAAGTTGATAAGTCCCGTGTGCCTGTAATTTCACCGGCACCCTCACCCTTCAAAACCGGAACTCAGTAATGTTAACATTACTGCTTGGCGGCAGAAATAGGTAAGGTAATAAGGACAGTACTTCCCAGGATGAACTCTTTCACAAGGAGCTCTACTGTCGCTAGTTTCAATAAGGAAAATCCCAAACAGACATAAGACTGCAGTACTAATTAATATGTTTTAATTTATTCTACTTGCCATCAATAAATAAAATAAATTTAATTTAATAAAACTTCATATTGTTACAATAAAATAATTTGTAAAGAATATACCTACCTTATTATTAAGAATTTTTAATAATAAGGTATTTAATAAATAAATCATGCAACTGTATTGAAAATTATGATTGTTTGCATTAATATTAGACATAATGGTTGATGACTTTACCATCTCAATTAAACGTGACCATGGGACCTGCAAAAGTGCCCAAACCGGGGTGGTTTGTTTGAAAAAACCAATATACGAGATTTATATTCGGAAAAATAGTTTCATTTCCTTTGTGCAACAATCGCGAAAACCTAAGAACTCGATAGTTACAGAGAAGGTGACTTTTTAGAGTACACTGTACTGTGTGCATTTCTTATGCTGGAATACCTACATGAGGCTAGCATATCTAGCTAAAATAGCAGCTAATACAAATAAAATAGCAAGCTAGTTACTCGATCCTGACGGGTACATGCTAGAATAGTTTACATGATGCCAGTAAGTTTTAAGCCAGTATCATTGCAGTGACTGATGTGCATAATAATGAGGAGCTTTCGTAAAACAAATACTATTGCTTCTATGCCGATTATTAATAATTTGCTGACACAGGTCAGTCGATCGGCACGGCTCCGTATATTTCAAAAGTATTCTGTATTTATTCCAATAAAGATAATATATCTAACTATGGGGGGGCTGTTCCATTCGGTGGTGTGGGAAAACAGCAAAACATCTTATTACAAAACAAACGGAATCACATTTCATCGGTAATTAACATAGGTCATTGGTAACTAAATATTAAACATGTAATTTTTCAATTTTCGTCCATTATAGCAAAGCTTAAAAATTAAGTTAAACTGGTCGATTCGAATTGACGACACCCGTCAATTGTGTCGAATTCGGACTGGCCAATCAGAGCGCAGTTGTCACCGCAATGATTTGGCAGAATAGTTTTCAAACAAATTAAATGCTATTTCGGCTCTATTTCTGGTTACATACTCGAGGGATGCAAATTATGACTCGATTTTTATGAAGATCGATTCAGGTGTATGCAATCTACGATTTCAATGCGATTTTTAAGTAAATCGATTCAACGTTAAGGCGAACCGTTATTTTATATTGGCCTGCAAGAAAAGCAGTTTGGCAACATCTAAGTACAGTGAGTCTACAATATTTGGCGATTTTCGCTTCTTCTGTACCATCTGAACGTTGTTTCTCACTGGCTAGTATCATGAAAGTCGTAACCGACTGAAACCAAATAGGCTGTCAAAATTATTTTCATTAATCGAAATTAATTTTGGAACGATTTTTATGAGATCGATTCGAGAGCATACGATCCGATCTGTGGATCGATTCAGAGGCATATCATCCATTACGATCCAAAACATCCAATCTAAGCAAAAAATCTTACATCTCTAGATACTAGCTTCGACGGCCACACGAGTACACAAGCCAAGATAGTAAAATCAGTGGTGGGGAAAGCTGTATAGCAAATAATAGAACCCCATCCTATTAAACTATCCTCGCTTGAGACGCTTACTAGCCGAGAAATGAAGCTAGTTCTGTATACACGAAGCCAGAGTTACTAGCTTACTGGCATTTGCACTAGCTTGCTGTCCTAGCTTGAAAACCTAGCCACGTGTATTCCGGCATTCCGGGCTAACAGACAGAAACACAAATACACAGAAAATGTTTCAAACTTAAACTCATCTTTTTCCGTCAGGAGTTAAACAATGTGGTGTATTTAAATTACATTGCAATGAAAAGTAACAGTTTATGTAGCAGAGCCATGTGCCTAGCAATAAAAAAAAACTTACATTAGAGCTGCCAAAAACACCCAATAATATTAACGGGACCACGGAAAGATGTACACGAATCATTTTTAGGAATGGCCTTTTGCGAATGAAAAATGACAATACAGCATAATTCATTTTATTTATTATATTATATGCCAAAGCGAATTTTATGTGTATATGGGACCATGTATTAATTACAGTAAAAATTTTTACGTGCTACGTTATAAAAGAGTAATTAATTATATATCCTTAATTTAGGCAATATTTAGAAATTTAAAAAAATACTTATTGACTATTTTTTTTAATGTTTTTTGTGGGGCCTGATGGTAAGCTACACGCCTGTCCATAACAGTTGCAGGGCTTTAAATCGCAAAGATCTGAGGGGCACTACCACTGCGCCCGCCACCCTGAGATGTACATTGACAAGTCCCATGTTCCTGTAATTTTACGAGCACCCTTACCCTTCAAAACAGGAACACAGTAAAACTGACATTACTGCTTGGCGGCGGAAATAGGTAAGGCAGTACTACCCAGGATGAAATCTTTCACGAGGAGCTCTACTGCTACTAATTGTTACTGTTACTGCTATTAATTGCTTTATAATAAAATAAAAAAGCACATAATATAGTACCTATCAATAAAAAAAGCATTTTCAAAGCTTCTTTCCATTGTTTTCCCTAAAATTCAAAATAAACAGATATCCAATTTTAGAAGCGTTAGGAAGCCAAATTATTTTATATTATCTTACCACAAACACACAAAACAATCAAGAAAGAAAAACAGATACAACGGATATTAAAATCAAACCAACACTCAGACAAAAAAGAAGATATACGTAACAAACAGCTAGCACCTAATAGCGCTGGTTACCTAATGGGATGCTGCTTCACAATTGAAATGTCGATGGTTTGAATCTCTATAACCACCTATGAATAACTTCTAGCTTATGTCGGTACATTTGTCATGTTTAGTAGCATTAGGTATTGTACCTCTTACTAAGGAAATGGAAAACATCGTGTTGAAACCTGCATGTTAAAATATTCACAACCCTTAGGAAACGTTTGAAATCCCCAACCCACACAGTGACATCACCCACTCCTTACGAGTCCATACTACCTCAGCTCTAATCCAATTTTTTCCCGTACTAAGGGTCGAAACACAAAACCGCGAATTGCTGCGATGCGACTTCGTGCGGCAAGGCATCTCAGTGCCACGGTTCCCGTAACCATTCCTTCGACCATCGGCAACCGCACTGAACGTATTTGTTAAACTAGGTAGCGACATGGATCGCAGACGTACGGGGAGAAGGCGAAGGCAGTTCGCTGCTCGCCTGATCCCCTAGTGAGGCCAGCGGGCTCTGGACAGGGACTCCGGAGCCTGCATTGCACGGCCTCACTCGTCTGGGGGGCGGGTCGGAGGACAACCGACTCGCCCCTCCGTTGGCGCGGGAGCCCTGGCGCAAGCTAGGGCGGCCGGGCGGCGTCGTGGTGAATGTTCACCGATCCCACGGCGCCGACTCAACCGGCGAGAGGGAAACCCGGGGGGTTTTAGTGGGGTAGGCCCTCCAGTCTGGAGGGAGAGTCCCCACATAACCCCTGAGTCTCCCTGGGCTCAGGGGTATCCATAAAGATTTCCCCCTCGTCAAAAAAAAAAAAAGGTAGCGACATGGATCGTAAAGAATATTGCACTGCTGTTATTGATATGCAAATGTAGGAAAAAAAACACAAAGAAGATTAACACCGCAGGAAAGCGATGCGGAGCAATTAGCAAATTCTTGCGATGCGTCGTCGCATCGTAGTATTGTGTTTCGACCTTTATACGGTTCAGTCGGCTTTGGGGCGAGCAGCAGGGACACTGGCATTATTTCAGAATTGTTTTTTTACAAGCGATATTTGAAAAATCTATATTGTGTAATATACGTGTTCTATTTAGTTCAGTTGATATTAAAAAACTCACTGGTATATGTCAAATACCTCTTGAAACAGCGATTTTCTTGTAAAATTTCGAGGTAAGTTCGTGTTTTTTTTCTATCATGAAAATTTCTAGGAATCATGTTTTCACACCCTATAGTAATCAGTGTATATTCTCAATTTTACTATATATTTTTTCCAAAGTAATTGATTCAACACGTTCACTGCTATGCGGAATCAACCAAAGCCTAATATGTATAGACTTTTAAAGGCCAGCGCATATTTTTTTTTTTATAATAACGTACACACTCAACATAGCCCCGCACTAGGGAAACCCTGTGTCGCGGGTGCCATGGACACACACGTAGACAACCACAAATTACACCCAAACTCACGGGAGAAATAAATGTTGGCCATACAAATATTTCTCCCGACCCGGGAATCGAACCTGGGACCTCTACATGGCAGTCCGGCATGGTAACCGTTCGGCCACGGAGGCAGTTCATATTTATTTATTTTTTTATACACACACTGAACATAACCCCGCACTAGGGAAACCCTGTGTCGCGGGTACCATGGACTCACACATAGACAACCACAAATTACATCCAAACTCACGAGAGAAATAAATGCAGGCCGTACAAATATTTCTCCCGGCCTGGGAATCGAACCTGGGACCTCTGCGTGGCAGTCCGATATGGTAACCGTTCGACCACGGAGGCAATTAAATTAATATACAGTTAGTTAATATTGGCGGGGGAGAGCATCGAAGAGGATCTTATGCCCGCCAGCGCACGCTAATGAGGATATATCCTTTACTAAACCGCGAGCGACCGTTAGAGTACGGCACGTCCGAGCCTTCCCGTTTTTTTATGTAAAGAAGGAGGCAAGCGAGCAGACGAGCCGCTGATGGGAGGTGGTCATCGTCGCCACAGACATCTGCAACCTTAGATGAGCCTATGCGTTGCCAACCTTTGAGAGCCCTGTTGAAACGCTTTTTGAAGAACCCCATGTCATAGCGCGAAGAAAATACTTCAAAAAGAAAATCTATCAATATCTTTTAGTAGCAGTAGATCTCCTTGTGAAAGAGTTCGTCCTTGACAGACCTTACCTATTTCTGCCGCCAAGCAGTAATGTCAGCATTACTGTGTCCCGGTTTTGAAGGGTAAGGATGCTGATGAAATTACAGACACATGAGACTTGTCAACTTATGTCCCAGGGTGACAAAAAAACGAATTTTGGGAAAACAAAACGAAACAAAAAAACAAAATAGAAACAGAACAGTCCAAAAAAATAAGTTGTCATAATATTCATTGGAGGTAACGATTTAAATTCATACCTTATTGCAATTGAAATAGCATAAAACCTACATTGATATATTTAATATCCTCTGCTTTCCTGTGTATTAAAAATACCCTTGTCTATAATAGATAGAATTACAACTTTTTTGTAAAAAAAAACGACGTCAAAAGTTTGTAGAATTATGTCTATTTGTCAAGTTTTATTGATATGAAAGTGGGTGAAATCTTATAAACCGCTTTCGTCCCCTACTTAGCCAAACTTAAAGGTGGAATTTTTTTTTCAAATTTAAATCGGACCACTATTAAGTTACCCTCCAAGAAAAAAATAATCATCAAAATCAGTTCACAAATGTCGAAGTTGTTACTTAAAATGCATACAAAAAATACAATCGAATTCAAAATCTGTTTCTTTTATTCAAGTCGGTCAAAAAATTGTTTGCAAGGTTAAAAAAAAATTTAAATTACATAAGCCACTTTATTCACATCCTGTATTAGGTAAAGTACTGATTACAAGGTATAATTATTAACTACAGCATAATTAGGTACTATGCGATTAGACGCAGTATTATTAGGTACATTTATTGAATAATAGCTGTGCCCGCAACTTGATCCCCGTGGTTTTCAATTTTGTGTTAATCAATTTAGTTACAAGTATGAACTTAATGAATAATTTCGAACTTATTACTAACGACCATAAAAATACATGCAAGTGTTTTTTTAATTGCAATTATAGTTGTACAATTATTACAACATAGCGAAAATTACAAATTAAAAATAATTTGGATTTGAAACTAACAATGTTGTACTTTGAGCGGCTCTTATCACAAATGGCATATACTCAAATTTTAATTTTAAGTGTACAGTCGATGCCACAAGATGCCTGATCCCCTAGCCGACCTCTTGGTTCTGAGAACATTCTTACGCATTCAACAGAAAAGTGTAAAGGAATTCCAGCTTTTTGGTTGAAATTTCTATTTATGTAAAGTAATTAAACATGAAATTGGCTTAAAAAGTTTCTTAAAACGTCTTTTAGTAACGATGCAATAAGGAAGTATTACCATAATGAATTTTACCGCTCAGAGGTCAAAGGCTAAGTTTGTTTGACACCTTTTTTCACACTGATATTGTGAACCAAATAGGGCATAGACTGTACACTGATGCACTAATAAACAATTTCTTTAAAAGTGAAATTGTATGTAGCACATCTGTTTTCCAAGTCTATTAACACTCGCCGATTCTACATAAACCGACCTGCAAATGTAAAAAGTATTACAAAGATATCATGTTATTTAAAAGGAATTGATCCTTTCGATTAGCATCATAATAATTATAACTTTTTTATAAATAAAAACGACCTCTAACGTTCGTGGAATTACTATTTGCCAAGTTTTATTGAAATCGGTTACCGAAAAGTATGCGAACCGGATTCATCCTCTAGTTTACTACCCTTAGAGATGGAATATTTTCATCAAATTTAAATGGAACCAATAAATACTAAGGCGGGTTAATAAATACTAAGAGGGTTCTTTCCAACAAAAAAGAATCATTAAAATCGGTTCGCAAATGCCGCAGTAATATCGTATACACACAAGAAAATACAGTCGAATTGAGAACCTCCTCCTTTTTGAAGTCGGTTAAAAAAACCGTTTCATGAAGCGACTAGCATCCAGCGCACGTTATTCTATCGAACGCCCAGTTGGTTTTTGAACACATCCTAAGTTGATTTATGAACGAACGAAAAGGAGGAGGTTCTCAATTCGACTGTATGTTCTATTTTTTGTATGTATGTTACGCGATAACTTCGCCATTTGTGAACCGATTTTGATGATTCTTTTTTGTTGGAAAGCGGGTACCTCCATAGTGGTCCCATTTAATTTAAAAGAAAATCAATCATCCACCTC